CATAGCAGCAGCGCTTAATGCCGAAGGGGAGGGGTGGTATTGTTGAGGTCCACCACCCTCTTGCACCCCCGGGTTGCCCGGGCCCCCTCCGGTTCCGCCTCCCCCAGTGTTCATCCCCCCGACAGTGGACTGAGGTCCTCCATACCCTCCACCGACGCCGCTAAACAGAGCGGTATGAGTTGAAGCGAGCAAAGCAACAAGGTCGTGGGAAAATCACGTGATAAAAACTCTCACACTGACAGATAGGGGCTACTGTGTAATGCAGATACTCCCAGCCTATAAACTGTGACACAAACAGCACAACGCTTCTATATTAAAAAAAAACCGGTACTCTACAGCAGATTAAAACATTCACCTCTCAGCAGTTATGAACTGGCCTCTTAAGTCGACTAATACATAACAAAATACATCCTACCCTAAAGATGGAGGTGTTAAGTTCCTTCGAAACACTGGTAACAAAATTGCACAACGCAGAATCATACAGTACCATCTGATAATTCAGTATAATAAACACGAAAAGTGAAACATGGGGGGGGGTCTAATGTAAATCGAATATTTCGAAAAAGAACATCATTTAATATTTTAAATATTTTAAATGTTAATTACTGTAATATTTTAATATTTAATAAGAATTTATTGTGATTAGACGGACAAGATTTAATATATACGAAAAGTCAATCTGACATTCAAACAAACGCAAATGAAGGTACTGTCCACAGATCACAAGGGGAAGTCGTTTCTGGTGCGGTGCGCGGGGAATTTTTACTGCCTGGTGGACTAGAGGGCTGCTATTGGTGGGAAGTGTGACACGTCAGAGTTTTACGCTACTACACAGACTGAAAACATCAAGCAGTTAAGAGTAGCGTGTAGTGAGTGGACTTGTAATGTGTTCTGTGGGTGTTGCGATAATATTCTAGATTAAATCGCTGTGCCTCTGTGAGGTAATCTTAAAGCTGTAGCCATTAGAACACATGAAAGCCTGTCGTCTGTTGTTCGTTCAGTGGTTGTGGAAATGAATGCTTTTAGGATGGGTCGTCACTCACCGCGAAATCTTGCGCATGCGCGTATATCGAATTCCTAGCAGGGATTTTCTCCTGATCTGTGGACTGTACAGTACCACACGACACTTCGACATAACATCTAATTTACATGGGTGAATAACAAGAGAAACATTCTACTGAAAACGTGGCGGATATTCATATAATTAGGTTTTTCCCCCAATTAATTTCAAATGACACGAATCCTAAGAACATATAAAACTCTCGCCCCTCCCGAGACTGAAAAGGTGTCCTATTTCTCGAGAATCTGTTTATACGCTCGCACAATACGGTCAATAGCTGGTGGTGATACAACAGGCACTTTTCAGCTCAGCGCAACAAGGCGACAGCAAAGGGGAAATACAAGGCAACGAGGAGGAGGGGGAGAGGCGAGGTGGTAAAAGAACAGAGCATGCAGGCCAAGAACTATATATTTTACCTGCAACCCAACTATTCTCCCCTTTGGCGCGGTCTTTCGACAACCCCAAATTTCCCCTAAATATTTAGCCAATTGAATCTCCCTTCCTCCCTTTATAACCCCACAACGCACATCCTTTCTTATTTTTAGCAGAAGGTCCACGTATTTTTTTTTACGCCGCTGAATCATAGGATTGAATTATTCCATCAATAAGATCTGATCGATGCCTCGTTACTACCCCTATCAACGTGAATTCTATCCCAACGGTAGACGCCTTATTGATTGTGCCGAGTAATGCTTTAATACCAAGACCCCGAGTTTAGCAGCTGCTAAACGTGAACATACTATTACAATTTCGTCTCAGTTTATGGGAACGAACTGGTGTGGTCATTAATCAACTTTTCCATGCAGCTCGTAGGGTTACTTCACAGTGAGTTTAAAAATGTTAAAAGAAGATTTTTTTTTGAACATGTATGTGAGTGCCAGGAAGATTAAAAATTCGTATCTGCGCGAATTGAAATGCGTAAAAACGTACTTTGATGTGTGAAATGCCACAGAAGAGGACTAGTATCCCCCCCCCCGGTTATCAACTACAGACTATACATTGTCTTATCCTCGTGTATAGACGACAAGCATAATCATTCTTCCTGTTCAGTCATCAAGAACAGACTTACGTCCCGTTTTCACACGCGTAAATGTGCCACGACAGAGCGCTGGTTGAGAAACACTACGCTTAGATTTCCTCATCAAAGAACCTTCTTCTAAATGCCCTAAGTTCAGGTTATTATCATTATTTAGTGTTCTGTCTGACGACAGGTCCATATGAACAGGATCCTTCCATCCTTTTCTCGGACTGGGACCTGTTCATATACGTTCTTGGCAGATGATCCAGAAGTGGTTTGCCATTGCCTTCTTCTGTGTGTGAATGGAGTAATTGTTGGGATGCCACGGAGGAAAACTCCGTGTTGCCTAGACCACGGCCTTGCCCAACACAAGTTATAAATTCGGGCACCGCCGGGAATCGAACCCGAGACCCCAGGATTACAAGGCCAGCGTTCTAACCGCTAGACCACCGTGGCAGGTATCGTTATTTTAATACTAAAAATCTGTGAAAGAAAAATCATTTTCACAAAACCCTGATGTCCTTATATGAGAATCTCTCAAAGCTTCTGAGTCAAAACTACGTCATTACAAAAGCTTGAGATGTACACGTAATTAGACTACTTCGATTATCAATAAGTACCTTGCGGAATGTTACAATTTAGTATGCCCTGAATAACTAACTAAATTGCTCATTACATTTGTTAACAGAAAACGAGTAATCAATTAAACACTCAAATTCACAGCTTAAATCAATCAGACGAGTATAGAAATCTTAAAGGTACTCACCCCGGCGGGACGGACTGTCGGTATCCAGCGCCAGTAAACGGAGTGCCTTGTTTGTTTGGAGCTCCTTGTTGAGCGTAACCCCCACCCCCTGCAGCCACGGTGCCCCCGCTACCCGGGAAGTTGTTGTGGGGACCGGACTGCGTCGACGTAGTCACTCCCCACACGGTGGTCACCACAGACAGCTGTTGCTGCGTGGCGCCCCCCGGCGACCAATCCCTGAAACACGCCACATTGTTGCAATTGTTTGACAGCTGTGCTACTGCTGCTACCTCTGGCGACCGATATATGAAACACATACACAAACCAGCTCTAATATGTAGAATACCCAACAGATAACGTTACTGTCTTGACAAGCACCTGTTTCCTGACGTCCTTAGATTTTTTCCGACGGGCTCGTACAATTATAATATTCCGTAACAAGTAATTTCGTTCATTATAATTTCCTCTTCGACTTCTGTAAGTGGTTTATGTATCCCCTATCTGGCACGACATGAAAGGGATTTTCGACAAAATACACATATTAAAGCAATATTTCGTACAGAAAAGACTTAACGCTCATACTAGTAACACGATTAGTTTGTGAACAAAATACAATTTCTTTTAGGTTAATGTTTCATGCCAATCTCTCGATATGAACCCTACACAAAAGCCACTGTCCGAAAGGCATCCCATCACAAATCTGAAACACCTATTCGGATATCTTATGGACGACGTCATTAAAAATTACTTTCAGATTCCATGCCGAAATCTGGAATCCGTTTAAAACTAATTCACGGTCACAGTAAGAATAATGGTCCGTAATGTCTCGTCCCTAAACAAGATACTTTTTTTACAGGTGCCTAGAAACGGACAAACCGACGAGCAACTCTCAAGGGGACGCCAGAATTCGAAGTTACCAAAATAATTTAATGAATAAAGAACTGTTTCCTCTTTTTAAACGTGTTTTATCTCTCGGGCACAATCCCGATATAACTTTCTGAGAAACACAACATTATTGTGCAAAGAGATTTTCTAAAATTGCCTTTCAAGCGTTTATCTCACGTCGGGATATTCCGATGGTTTGTAATCCCGTATCCGGTTAAGAATATGATCCATGACCAGTAGGTCACTGCATAGCAAGTCCTAGTTCCGTCGGCCACAGAAAGAAACACTTTCGTAATAGGTGCGTTGTACAAAAACGTTGGGTTTTCACAACAAAAAACGTTCGCCAGAGATACTTCAGACACTGGTGTTTACGTTCCAACCTCCTAACCAGTTGCCAATGACAACTTGTGACGCATTTGTGTATCTTTTGTGAAACACTGTGGAGTGTTATCATTGCTAGTGGAGGGGGGAGGAGCACGGTACACAGCGTAGTTCCTGTAAACCAATTACCTATGTGAAAACATGCATGCACTCCTACGCCATGACTGGCGGACATTTGTCGTAGGACAGTAAATATTCTAGTGACGTCGTAGGAACGTTTAGCCTGATCCCTGTACCTCTAGCAAATATTTTGTAACATCCATACAACGCCTTACGACATGTTATAAGACAAAACAAATCACTGTCAGCACCGCGCGACATCAATGATTTTATCAGTTTCGGTTTGCACTGCAGTCACATGTGGTACAGCCTAGTAAAATCTGTACAGCACACACACATTTAAAACCGAACAGTCCTCTGATAACACGTCACACATTCGAGCAATAAAACCTACGTGGCAAACCTGTCATAAGTATTTAATAATAACACCGTCACTCCCGCTAACATGACATAGCGTTTTATGTCAAAGACATTTACACCTCTGGTATCCACTTAACTTCTATATACGATTTATTTTATAAAGACGTTCCGCTTTCTCGCACTGCTCTGAATGTTATCCTCATTATTTCACTAATTTCTTGTCTGTGCAAGGGTGTCGAGATATTCATTATTACTATACAAGAAACAGGTCCCTGAACAGTGCCGACCTCTGGCGCTTGAAACACAAACCACACCACATTACGTCGTTCATATTCAGCGAACAGTATCTACTCCGAACAAGTGACGCACTCACCGCGCCGTTGGCGAACCTCAACAATGGGAAGGTTCGAATCCATTCACACAGCAAGGAAACTCGCTCACCTTTCACGACACATAAAATAACACCAACTCTGGACGTGTAATCACTTTCGTGGTGAGATAAACAAGAGGCGTGTGGTAGAAACCGCGATGTGGACTTCATTGATTTATTCCCACAGCAGCCTTCGCGCGTCTGAATGTTTAACCTAAATCCCACCATGTATTTATAGGGTTTTGACATGACCCAATGCTGGGTCGATGTGGGTCGTGCATGGAAACTGGGTTATGTATGCTCTGTGTGCAGTGATTCTGATATTCGTTGCTTAATACAGCTGAGGAGCAGCTTTATTACAGACACGTAACCACTACCGGAGCTTTCAACATTTTTCAAGGCCGACAAATGCTATTCTCAGCGTCTCATTCCACACCCACCAACCAACCCTTACTTAAAGAATGCACTGTGTGTGTTCAACACATATAATTCGAACCGAGTGGTTAAACGTCCACACGAACTAGTGTTCGCTCGAGGGAATGATGAATACACAATACACGTAACGGCAGTTGTTTCAGCCTAGCAGGCGGACCTACCCACTCGTTATTTCCTATGATAACACATTTAGTACAAACACTTTGTACTGACAAGCAATTTGCATGATACGAAATTCCTGCTTCGTATGTGAAAATTCGACAGAATGAGCAGTTTTTCTAGTAGGTATCCAGACACTGGTATAACGAGTTCCCTGCTCGATACGATTAATCACATTCTACCAATTTCTCGTTTAAATTTACCTACAGACGACATGAAAAAGGCACCAAAGTCTGCCACAATCATTTCACTACAAATATCTCGCGAACCATTACACAGATTATAATTGTTTAAACATTTACAAAACAAATAATTCGCCTCCTCACTGCAACATTAAAGAAATATAATTTAAATTATGTTCCTACATCGATGGATCACGAAAAGGGATAATCTTTCTCCTGGCACAATTATACAGCGTTTATAAACAGGTGAGTTCTGTCGATAAGTAAACCACTTATTCACTGCATTATTCAATAATCGTTTAGAAACTGGTAAGGTCAGTTATTGCCAATTGGCGACTCCTGGTGGCCACGCTCCAAAACGTCCTGTCGTGAATGCGCTGAAGCATGTAGAAGGTCCACAGACACTCGACATTAACAAACTTTGCAGTTACTTTAATAAAAAAAAATGCAATTAAATTAACCACACATGCCGCCAAAATATTTCCCGTTAGTGGCAACACCTCGTACTCACTTTAAAATTCTATATAACACTAGAATGCATCCAGTTTGCGATATTCTGAATAAAAACACATATCTGGTCAGTGATGGTCGTGGACTCTGCTGCAAACACAATCTCCCACTTCACAGTATGTTCCTTGTTGCAAGAGCAACATGCCTCCTTCAAACATACTCTCACAAATAATTTATTTTAATGCTAAACACCAATAAATGCAAACTACCTGTAGGATGTGTAGCCCAACATTGGAACAGATACATATGTTTGGTGCTTGGCAACGCGCGAGTCTATTAATATGCGTACGTGCAGAACACCTACTTCACTTTTCCACTTACACACATTCACTACTTGCAAACAACCGAGACACCGTGCACGCGCTAAACGACTGTCTGACTGCTTGCTGCTGCTGGTGAGAGGTTGTTGAAGCCACGGAGGGGAAGAGAAAGTGGGGATGGCATGGTATATGGTAGGGATGGAGGAGGACTGCACCGGTCTGACCCGGTCTTCCCCTCTCTTGCATTCCTTTTCGCCCTTCGGACAGCCACAATATCGGTTATAGCTGCACAGCGTTGCCATATCGTGCGCAGAACCAATCCCGTGAAGCAGTGTGGGTGGAGCTAGGGGTCTTCCCGCTAACCCCGCTGCTAGTCTAGGGTATAGAGTTCACGCATGTTCACGGCGGGCATTGCAATGCGGACAGTAGACGTAAAAGACCCAACAGCGAGTCACACACAGCTTCTAGTTTACATATCCAAAGCATTCCCGACCAGTCCTACCACCGTAATTTTGGAATATTTCCTTCTGCCGTAACAAATAAGGTACCAACAACGGACCTTGGCACTACTTCAAATTATTGGCAATTGCAAATCATGTATTTCACATAACACCGCGGGTTTTATTTGCACATACATTTCTCCTACCCTCATTTCAGCATCTTTCTCTGTGGTTTATAAACATTTAGTGACACACTGTTAATCTCAGCACATGTATTTATTACATTTAACACCTTCGCTACGCTTCAATCTGCCCAGAGCATTGATTATTTGTGCGTCGTGCAATGCTGCCAAGTTAACACAAGGGAGCAGAGCAATGTCGGCGCGTAGTGGGTGCGCAGAAGCTGTCGGTCTGTCTACTAGTGCCATGCCAATATGCGGATGTCACGCGCAACTCAAGCGAACACTTTTTTATGTGTGTGGATTGTACATTAAAGGGCTTCTCGCAGTCAGCCGTCTGCCTCGTGTACGACGTGCCTGTGCCCCTCCGTTCTTCTTATTCTTCTTACATCTGACTCTTCCGTCTTCCTCTTCTGCTCTGACTTGTCGTTTTTCCAACTTCATTGGCTAACGCGGCGGCGGTTATCAAACACTGGTCCGCAGGTCAAATGTTCCCAAAATATTCTACTGCCGAAGGACTAAACACCCAATGTTGCAGTATAACAGACACGAACATGAAATTTTTGGAGAGGGTTAAGGGTTCGAGAAAATGGGTCATTTTTAAACTACCTGCGTTGTTTGTGTACGGTTCAAATTTAATTACTTTTTATCGGAGAATATTAAGGCTACAGGCTGTCTTCAACATCAAACCAAACTTGAGACCGATAACAAAACATAATTGACCAAAGTTTGAAGTTTTGAGAGAGGTAAATGTGTCGATGATCTTCTGGGCTATGAAGCCGTCTTGTCCTGTGATTACTTAACGTTTCGGAGAAACTTACTGCTTCCATCTTCTGGTGAAAAATGGATATAGGAGTTCAATCGTTCCTCCGAATCGTTGGTAACCAGAAAGACATAAAAGTACAATCGATACGTTTATTTTATTAATGAATCATTTATTCATATTTCGGGTGGGCATTAACTAATGTATGTTACTTAAAAATTAAACGAATAAAATAAGATTATATACGTTTCGG